CCTAAACCAGAGGTATTCAGCTAGTTTGGGGGGGGGGGGCATCCATTTATCATTTAAGCAAACCTGTCCATTGTCATGTTGATTTTCACAGAACAAGCTACCACTGCAATTAAGATAAAGGAACAATAAAGATGAGAATCTGTTTCTTCAAAGTATGCTTATGATAAGAGATACAGGGATTCTAACTGATATTAATCATAGTGGTAAGAGCCAAGTGCAGGATTTTGCCCAACTTAATTAGATATATGACATGGCAGTGTCGAGAGGCACCAGAATTCCTTTTACGCTTTCCCCCTTTTAGCATGGATAACTACCATTCCTATGCTCTGTCCTGCTTGCAATGAATTGGCTTGGATTTCAGTAATTTTGTGTATGTGTGTGTGCATGCGCAAAGTATTTGCAAGGCTTCAGTAAAGAATCTTTGGATCAAAGCACATAGTGATGGAATTTTGCACACACAGCTTTTGACATTACAGGCTTCCCCCACCTTTAAATACTCACCCTTTTTTCTTGCTTGTTGAGACTGATGGATAAAAATCTAATATTTTGAGTGTATTCGCGAAGGCTTTCACGGCCGGGATCTAATGGTTGTTGTGGGTTTTTTGGGCTTCTTGGCCCTGTTCTGAAAGTGGTTCTTCCTAACGTTTCGCCAGTCTCTGTGGCTGGCATCTTCAGAGGACAGCAAACTGTGCTCTGTAATATTTTGAGCTTGCTTAAAAAGTGGTAAAGCAAAAGGTGACCTGAACTTGAAGAATGACTGAGACGCGACAGTAACATTCTGATCTTGCTTCGCTTCTTTGTCCAACATATGCCTGTTACAGTTAAATTAGCACAGAACATTGAGAGTGCTCATTTATGCATTCCAGTGTCAAGATAAAAGTCAAGATAAACAGGAATAATGTTAAGATGCAATCAAATCGGTTAGAGTCTACAGATGTAATGAAAGGCCCAGACAGGAAATTGCAAGAGTGGTTGGCAGGGAGATTTAATTGTGTTGACATTTGCTTGTTAATGGCTGAAGGATATATACTGTACCTTCAAGGTAAATATATGAAAAACAAATTGATTATTGGCAATTGAGCTGGACTATTTTTCTTATACTAAAAAATGCCATTTCCTGTCCATTGGTACAGATACACCATGTCTTCAGAGGAATAACTGCTGATATGTTTGCATGTTCTGTATTAATCGCACATGAACCACAACATATACATGTTCTGCTGCTCCATTCATTGGGCTAGAAGAATGATTAATATTTTATTGCTGTGGTATGACCATCACTGATATTCCATGGGTAGGGAATATGTGCACTTTGAGATATTGTTCTGCTGCTCCATTCATTGGGCTAGAAGAATGATTAATATTTTATTGCTGTGGTATGACCATCACTGATATTCCATGGGTAGGGAATATGTGCACTTTGAGATATTAGGTAAGATAAAGGTTCCCCTTGACATTTAGTCCAGCCGTGTCCAACTCTAGGGCATGGTGCTCATCCTCGTTTCCAAGCCGTAGAGCCAGCATTTGTCCATAGATAGTTTCCGTGGTCACGTGGCCAGCATGACTAGACACGGAACGCTGTTACCTTTCCGCCGTGGTGGTGGTACCTATTTATCTACTTGCATTTACATGCTTTTGAACTGCCAGGTTGGCAGGAGCTAGGACAAGTGATGAGAGCTCACTCCGTTGCATGGATTCAATCTTACGACTGCTTGGTCTTCTGACCTTGCAGCACAGAGGCTTCTGCGGTTTAACCCGCAGTGCCACCACATCTTGTGGCGATATTAAGGGATTGCAAACTTTCTAAATCCCTCACCATTGGCTGTAGTGGCTTGGATACATGGGAGATGTAGGTCAACTGCAACTGGAGGGCCACATTTCCCTCCATGTCATGGATGCCTGTGGAGGTCAAGGTTTGAAATCTTGAATGTATCGAGTGTTTAAAACAGAGTGTCAAGAGCTTTGTGCTTAAATTACAGTACTGTAGTCAAGACTCTGATCAGGGCCTGAGTTTGATTGTGATGAACTCAGGTAGCTGACTCAGGGTTTAGTTAGCCTTCCATCCTTTTGAAGGTCAATACAATGGTGCCTCGAAAGACAAGTGCCCCGTTTCACGACGAAATCGTATTACGACAAAGTTTTTGTGATCGCAAAAGCAATTGCAAAAGCGATCGCAAAACGATGTTTCCTATGGGGGAATTTCACTTTGCGATGATCGATTCCCTGCTTCGGGAACCGATTCTCGCAAAATGACGATTTTCGGCCAGCTGATCGGCGGTTTCAAAATGGTCACCGGGTAAAAAAAAATGGCTCCCCGCTCTTTTCTGGGATGGATTCCTCGCTTTATGGGTAGCGAAAATGGCCGCGCTATGGAGGATCTTCACTGGACGGTGAGTTTCAAGCCCATAGGAACGCATTAATCAGGTTTTAATGCGTTTCTATGGGCTCTTTAATTTCACTTTACGATGTTTTCGTTCTACAGCGATTTGGCTGGAACGAATTAACATTGTAATGTGAGGCACCACTGTAAACTGAGTACTGAGCTTGTACAATGAGGGGCAATGTGTAGCCTGCATAATTAAATTTTAAACCACCCCGAGAGTGCTTTAAGTGATATGGGGCAGTATATAAGCAGCACACATTGGTTTGAAATAATTAAGGCGATCATGAACATTTTCATTGTGCTTTAAAAATGAAGTTTGAACAGCAGTTTCCTAAAGGTCACTCCAGGGCAATCAACCAACTCTCCAACCAAGTCTGAAGGCAAGGTCAAGGTAAAATAACGTGGTCTTGCAGAAGAACCTCTTTCGTATCTAACTCTTGAATGTGGAGGTAAACAACTGATAAGAAAACAAAAACAAGAATACCCACAATAGTCCTGAAATGTGGATAAAGCAAATTGATACCTGACCAACTTCGTTCACCAGCACTTCATGTTCATAGCATTTTGCTCAGCCAGTAAAATGGTACCCAAGTGATTTACTATTCCTGCAAGTGCAGAGATCCAGTAGGTCAGAATAAAGGCTATTATCTGCCATACTGGCAACTTGCTAGTCTCCAATTTTACTTTGACATCCCAGAAAAAGTAACAGAATTCCACTGAAAACATTCTGACCATTTACAGAGATTGGCAAAACATACCATCTCAGCAAAATTCAGTTGCTTCCATTTGAAGGAAAATGTGAACAACTAAGAAACTGCAAATATAAGGAAGTAAGAGACACACAACACAGAGATGCAACACAACGTGTCTCACACACACACTGGATACCAACAACAACGAACCAAACATCATGGATTTCCCTTTGTAGATGCAAACTGGCACAAGTCTGGCTAGGTTGGGTGAGAATTTTATTTACCGGAGAAGCAAAGATAGCCGTCCAGATACTGCTGGACTGCAACTTCTATCAGCCCTCATTATTGGCTATGCTGGCTAAGGCTTCTAGGAATTGTACAACTGCAGTTGTCCATCCACTGTTATCTGTCTGTTACATACGCTTGTTGCAATCGGAGTTTTCAGAGGGCCTGTTCTTTTGGAAATGCAATGGTGCCACACATCCACAAGAGGGAAGTCTCAGCCAGCTTTGGAGAGATTTGTGGCAATACAGTACATAAATATTTAGGAAAAACACTTAAACTCTCCTCATCAAGAACCTGCTCAGGCTTGCTCACTAGTAACACTATATTGAGTGTCTGCTAACAGATAGAAAAGGGAGTATGTTAAATGAACATTGACATGCTGGAGTATAGAATTGTGAACAATCGCACTCTGTCTGTCTGTTATATTTTGTTTTGGGTTCCATTTCTTCTCTGTCTTTTGGACATCCAAACTATAGCTGATATCCTGTTGTTTAGCATAGTAAGTGACACTACCATAGGCCCATAGACTCAATGGAGATTTGCTGAATCAGCTCCTCAGTAAGATTCAAATTGGCCTAGTTTTGTGACTAACTACGATAAAGTACTGCATTTTTCTCTGTATAAGATGCACCCATGGATAAGACACCACCACTTTTCTAATCCAAAATTAAGAAATCTAAGTGGGGCTTAGCAAGTGTAGGGGGAAAGGGATCAAAGTGCTGCAGGATCGCTTTGATCTCTGCTTTCCCCTCCACTTGTTTTTATTCTCTCTTCAGCTTTTGTGTATAAGACAACCCTTAATTTTTAATCTAAAGATTTTAGACAAAAGTATAGTCTTATAGATGGAAAAATATGCTAAGTTGCAACTTAGCATTTGAATTAATGGAGCTTATAGAGGACTTGACTCACCAAATCCCCATTGATTCAATAGGCCTACTCTAGTGTGACTTGCTACTGTAAGCAACAAGATTTCAGCTTGTAAATGGTTTTAGGAAGCCAAAACCAATATGCAGTACATCAACCCTTATACACAGGGGAGGGATCAGAGGCTCAGGGGAGTCCTAACATTTGCAAAAATAGTCTTTAAGAGGGAGAATCTCCCAAACAGCCCAGTGGATACTGAGAATGGCCAATGGCCACAGAAAGACAACTGAGCACAGAAACTAATGTATAGCTAGCCCATGATTAGAGCAGAAAACATGTTAATCCAGGAGAGATGTGATTTGTGAAATGATTTAAAGGAATTCCAAACCTCAGTCTCAAAGATCAATTGCAAAACAAAGTGATCTGATTTGCACACACACACACACAAAAGTGAGATGAGAGAAACACCTCCTTCTAATCTGTAATGTCTGTAATGACTGATGCTACTCTGCAAGTTGGTTGTGCCAGCTCTGAACAATACTTCATGGTTGTGCCAACTCTGAACAATACTTCATGCTGCATCGTTTTGTTGCAGGTCCTCCTGATTTAATACATATTTAGCCACTCACCGTCTGAACAACACCACAATAGAACTGGAGCAGGCCATGTCTGGAAGCCTTTACAATTTGGCACAGCAGAACCAAGCTGTTATGGTATGAACAACCTGATGATGCTTATTATAATTTTTTTTAAAAAAAAAATTCTCTGCTTTACAGATCTTCGGCTGCTGGGTCTGGATCCTTGTAGCAGCTACTACCGTGTATTTCCCTTTGCTGCAAGGATGGGTTATGTATGTTTCGGTTTCATCTTTTGTCATCTCCCTCCTACTCCTGATGGCCTACCTGTTTGGCTTCCACAGAAAGTATGAATCCTGGAAAATTCTGGTAAGAGGGGGGAAAAGACTCGTTGCGTTGTGTAGATCTGCCAAGGGCAAAGCTTTAGCAGACTGGAGTTTCCGTGCTGCTCTTTATGACAATAAATATACAGTACTTAGAACCGAGCCCGTTATTTGTGAGGGCTCGGTTCTAAGCCCCATCAAAGATGCTGAAAAACACAGATTATAATGAATGATATTTTAAGAATAAATGTTATACATAGCATGGTTTCTGGGTCTCTCTTGTGGACAGTTCTGATAACTTCATCATTAAAAATATATATTTTGAGGATTTTTCTTTTAGTATTTTTAATATGTTCAGACCATGGATAAGTGAATCAGTGGATACTGATACTGCGGATAAGGGGGTCCAAATGTATTATTTCTAATCTTCATCTTCTCAATGAATATATTATGTTAGTCTTTAGGGCGCCACAATGTTTATGGTGCCACCATACATTCTGTGGTTTTTCTTTTTCTTTTGTTTTTGCCTGATATTCTAGCACAGACTAACGCAGCTAACCCCTTCTAAAACTATATTAACTCTATTTACAAAGAATATTTAATATATTGATTTGATTTGATTTTTATACCTCCTAACAGTGAGAACTCACTACTTTGGGAGGTGAACATTAAAAAAAAAATTTAAGCCTACCTCAAGACTATCACCCCCAACAGCAACAATCACCCCCAGGTGACGACATAATATAAAAAAAAGATTATAAAGAGTGAGAAATTCAACAGAGTAACACAAAGACAAGAAAGCCAAATGGTGACAGACCTTTACAATTTCTATATCAGAGGCAATATCTTTTTGAAGGCCTCTTGATAAAGTTCTGCTTTTGTGGCTTTTTATGGACCTATGATGAGGCCTGGGATATATCTGGTGGCAGAGAGTTCCAAAAGGATGCAGCCACCACCTGGAAGGCCTTATTCCCAGTTGACATTCTTTTGACCTCTTGTGGTGCGGCCACTTTAAGAAGTCAGGGATGATAGTTTCTCGGGGGAGACAGTCCGACAGAATTCCACTGTGCTTTTAAATGCCCAAATCAAGACAAATCTCTGTTGCTGTGTTTTTTTTCAGGACAGCCTTTATCATGGGGCCACTTCTATTCTCTATATGAGTGCTGCAGTCTTACAGGCTAACGCAACGATCCGTTCTGAAGCCGAAGTGCCAGAAGAACATAGTCCTCGCTACTATCAACTCAATACTGCAGCTACGGTAAGATGTTGGTGTATGCTAAAGAGCCTCCAGTTTTGGTTTGGAACTTGCTGGCCCCATTCGACCAGAGTCCAAATAATGTCTTCTTCCTACTTGATCCAAACATTCTTGCTGCACCATTCAGACATCAGTTCTTGATTTTGCCAAATCCCCTCACGGCCCCACTGGAGAAACAAAATGTGCTGCTTATATACCACCCCATAGCGCTTAAAGCACTTGTGGGGTGGTTTATAATTTAATCATGCAGGCCACACATCCCCTCCCCCTCAAGCTGGGTACTAATTTTACTGAATTTGGAAGGATGGAAGCTAAGTCAACCTCAAGCTGACTACCTGGGATGGAATCCGGGTCACAAGCCGAGTTTCGGTTGCATTACTACAGTTTAACCATTGCGCCACAAGGCTCAGAAGCCACTTCGCCATGCAGCTTGCCAGAGCTAGCCCTGCTCCATTTGAGTTGGGCTTTTTTCACATGTGATGTGACTCAAAGCTCACAGCCAGCCGTCCCAGGGAAGCCACGGATGGACAAAGCTGGTGTGCAGTTGCCCAAGGGATATTTCTGTCTGAGGTAGATTAGCAAATGATGGTTAAAGTGCATTGTACCCAAAGTGTTCTGGCTAAGGAAGTGGAAAATCTCCTATGTAGCACTCCCATGTTTACTCTAGAGGAGGAAAGGGGAGAGAATGATAGGCTTAGTTTAGTTGTATTAAATTAGTAGGTGAAAATACAACCACCCTTCTATATTCCAAAGTTTTCCTTGTACAGTTCCATGTAGAAAGCAGAATGATGAGACAGTTGGTGAAGTAAACCTAAAGGGTTACTTCGTTTAGATGAGCTTAACTGTGTCTTGATGATGCTCACAGGTGTTCGGTTCAGGCAATGGGTAGGCTGATGGGCTTTGTGGTGGTTACCAGATAATGGATAGCAAAGAGTCTCTTAGCAATAGATAAAAGAAGTCAGCCACACACACAGATGGATGTCTGCCAGCAGTACTCCTGGTGGGCGACTCAAGATTACAGAATGAGAAGTCTTCTCCGTCTGTGATGTTCTGCCTTTGGTCTCTCTCGGTCTCTCTCCATCTGCCCTGCCCCCAGGAGACTGTCCTTTTATTAACATTACAAGGTCACAGGTAGTGACAGCATTACAGATAGTAGACAGAGTTCAGATAGGACAATGGTTACATCATGTTATTAGGGTTGGTCTGGAGAAAGGCAATTGATCAAGCCCTCTGATTGGCCTAAGGGAAGGCCTCTATAGCAAGCTCTTTATGATAATGAGAAAGAGGAGGAATGGTGGCAGCTCCTCCCCTCAGAAGCAGCCACAGGATGCTAGGAGAGTTTTCCCTCACTAGAACACCCATGTGGCTTAGCAACCTTGGGAATGGTACCCCCACAACAGGAATTCAGGGAAATGTTTCCACAACACAAGAGTCAAAGGATACTTCCTTTGTACTTTAATGTTGGTAGTTCACCATATTAGAATAGATCACACTCATTTCCCACTGGTTAGCTCAATTGATGAACTGGTCCAAGATGTACTTGCACTGTGTTCCACAGACAGATTGGGTTCCTTTGATGGGCACAGAAAGGCATTTCTGATCCATAAGCAACATAAAATTTCAAATGCGCAGTCAGTTTATGGTACAGCTTATAGGTAAAGGTGATGTGAAAACTCTTGCTCCTCAGTTTACAGCAACAGGCTGAATTGCAAATGAAGATGGCTGCCTCCTAGAAGGGAGGCAGGGATTTAGTGAATAGAGTGTCGGGCCAGGACTCAGAAGATCCAGGTCCAAATGTGTATTTTGCCATGGAAACTCACTGGGTTGGCAATGGTAAACCACTTCTTGAACTTCACATATACCTTGAAAACCCTGCTAGGGTTTCCATGCATTGGAAAATACAGTGGGATCTCTACTTAAGAACATCCCTACTTAAGAACAATCCAACTTAAGAACAGCTCCATTTGCTAAATTTTGCTTCTACTTGAGAACAGAAATCCAAGATAAGAACAGGAAAAAAAAAACCTTTCCTGCTCTTTTTTTAACCTTAGGTCATCTTAGGTTAAAAAAAAATTCTCCCCCAAGTGGTAGAGTACGTATTAACCAGCTTTGCATTAGTTCC